GGCGAATGCAGCGCCGCGGCGCGCGACGCGGGGCCGACTGCGAGGGGCGGAGGCGCGTGGCTGCGCTTCACACAAAGTTGCGTGCGCGGCAGAGCGTGTGATCGCCTGCGAAGCGAACGCTCAACCCCCATGCAGCCTCCTTCCCCGGGGCCCGGCGCCACTCTCGCTGAGGCGTCGCTCCCAGGCCACCGCAGACAATGAGGTTTGCAAGCCTCGTCGCACCAAAAGGGAAACCTAATCCCTCCTTCTTGAACCCACCACAACTGTTCTAAAACTGATGAGTAAAAGAAATCGATGTATTATTTTTCAAAGTGAATGGAAAGTATTGTGCAAAATATTACGTTCATATTAACTTTTTAATCGAGCCATGATTCAAATAGCTATATTTTTTAAAGCTAACACTTAACACAGAATAATTAAAATATTGATGAGTGAATAGTCAATTAATATTTTTGTTAATAATAACATAGTTTACTTAAAAGTTTAAATCATTTGATTAAATCTAAGTTAATAGTTTAGCTTCAAAGAAACCAAATCAGTTAATCACACATGTGGCTCGTTGTTTGCAACATATAAAATAGTTCGTAATTTTGAAGTAGGACGTGAATAAAAATTCGCTGTTTTCCGACTCACGATTCTTCTTACGAAGTACTTCGTAAGGCGAGAAAGTAAACAGAAGAAATTGCTGTTATTTTCTGCACCAACTTCCACTCCGAAATCACGACTTCTCTTCTCTGCGCCTCCTTAATTTCGGGAGGTGCTACTGAACCGGAATCGTGGCAAGCAAATTGCCGCCGGCTGCACCGACGCCTGCCACCCCCCGCCGACCCCACAACCCCCGCAGACTCCGCCACCACCACTGTCACCCGATGCTCTCGAATCTCGCGCCGCCGGCACACCGCGCCCCCGCACCGGGCGCCACCGCTCCAGAGCCCGCGACCTCACCTCGGCGCCCCGAAACTGCCACCACGCCAGCCCCGTCCCCGCCGCCAGCGCCACCTCCCACCGCCGCCGCCACTCTCGTTGCCTTCGTCACCAGCCCCCCCGCCCGGCCGCCTCACGCGCCGCCGCGCGCCTCCATCACCCGGGCTGCTCCCGCCGCCAACGCCGCCGCCCGCCGCCGCCGCGCCCTCTAACGGTGCGGCAAGCGCCGGCTTTTCCTTCGGCCGCCGCTGCGTGGCCGCTGCGGTCTGCACTCGCGCAGCTCTGCAGCGGAGGAGCACCTCCGAAAATACTCTCTTCAGCTCTCCCCACACTCAACTCTAGCAAACCCGGGGGCGGGATGGAGGCCGGAGCCCAACTCTTAAATTTTCATTTTGCAGATTTGTTTGCCAATTTTGATCAATCAAGACCATTTTTATTTACTTTCAAGAAAACACATTTTCCTGAAATAAAATATATCTATATATTTATGAAAATATAAATCATTTGTGTTTTTTATCAAAATCCTTTAATTCAAAACAGAATACCAGAGAGAAATAAACTGTAGAAACACTTGTTGTGAACTTCAAGTAGACTTGTGAGCCAGCGGTGGGGCGAGTAAGGGCCAATTTATCGTGACGTCATTGGCAATCTAACTGGCCATCGACAGGCTTTTCTCATTCCTAAGAGGGGCTTGTCTTTGACAACGATAGGGTGGAAATCACATTCTCTACCATTTATGTGAATCTCGTAAAGCCCTTTATTTATTTTACTTGCCGTACATTATATTAAGACCAAATGTGCATTTTCTATAATCAGATATTCATCTATTATTTATTATTTTTGAGAAATATTTAAAACATGACTGTATTACCATCAATTTCTTTACAGAAAAAATAGGATTGTCTTTAAATCAGTTATACAAAGTAAATGAAATTCAGTAATAAGAGATTGAAAAGAAATTACGTCCAGACAGCACTAAAATGATGTGCACTATGTCATATTCAGTGGATGATACTAGCACATGAACTGAGTTTGTGTCTCTTGATAAATACTCTCATAGTATTGTCTCTTATTCAGATGCCAATTCAATTTCTGAAAATAGTAAATTAAAGCTATTTACTTTCATCAAGTCACGTATTAATTCGTGATTGATAATAAAAATGAGCCTCTAAAATACAGATATCTGCTCAGTGAAGAATTAAAATCTTCCAATCAATTGGAAATTTTGCAATATAATTTAGAAGCATCATCAGTTTATTTGCAATGAACAGATGTAAATGTTCATCTGTGTGAATTGATATTTCTCTTCCATATTCTATATCTTCAGAACCTTATATTATTTCTCAATTGTGGTTCTGTGAAAATTACAGACACACACAAATGTAATAGAGAATGTTAGTGACCTATTTAATCACAATATTAATAGAAAAATTATCATTTTACAAATTGTTTAGTGAAGGATTCTCTTATTCTAGAGTCTCTTCATTGCTTTCAAAACACTGAAAAACTGAAACTAAGAAATATTTTTGTAGTGGGACAAATAGCTTGTATTTATGAGTGTCGTTCCAGAGATAATTATGCTAGTTGCAACAAAATCTTACTTCCAATAATATATTGAGTAATTGTCTTTACATTAATATTCGTACTGCAGGTGTGTTGCGGATTATAACAGTAAATATTAAGGTTTGGAAAAAAATACATTGTATAAAGTATAATATGACTGGATTATCAGTCTTCAGATAATGCAATTATCGCTGTATGAGAACAAACAATATATAAATAATGTATCTAATCTTATCAATATCGTCTTGTAAATCTCAAAGCAATGTGAAAAGTGCTACACACCTCTTTTTCTCATCAGGCAAAATAATTTTCTTGTAGAAGTTAAATTGTACTTTGCTGGGGAGGTTATTGCTCTTTTCATTCTGAATCCGTAAGAAAACGGATTGTAGTAAAATGACTTTTGACATCAAGACGAGGACTTCTCTACAGTTATCGTTTCGAGCGAGTCATGTCATCAGCTACGGTTCATTCAGACATAGATAATGGCTCAAACAATGTCTTACATTTTCACACGCTTTTCTCCACAGTGGATACTTATGTGACACGACGCCACAAAAAACGAAATGCACCGCGCGCCTAGCTACTGTGCATTTCACTTACACGTTAAAGAAAAAGTTTGCATTAGCTATTGTTAAATTATTCGTTGCATTTTCTTTTGTGCGACCCACCCATCAAGGAACAAAGAAGAGGAACTAGTAAACTCATAGCTGGAACATATAAGATATCATTTCCACGTTAAAGGATGACTCTCGAATTAAATATGAGGCTAGATATCTCACACTTGCTACAACTAATAACTAATAACTAAAATGTCACAACTCAAAATGTCATGTTTTCCCTCAATCACGAGAAACGTTTGTGGCAATAATGACACATTACTAAGACAAACAAATTGATCTGGTCTAATGAGAACGGATATAAAACCAGGATTAAATACTGTCATTTCTAGCTTTAACCCCAAGGGACTGACCTTCGTTTTAGTCCTGTCACTTTTGGTGCCTTGATCAGTCATGTAGCCTCTCACTACCAGTAACCACGCAATCATCCACTACCGCCTATATTGTCAAGTTGTAGAACCACACTTTTGACAGATCGTCAGGTATTGTTTCTGCAACTGTGTCATAGTAACAACTCGAAATTGAAGAGTTTTGAGTTTTCTCTGTGTTTTTGTGTTTTTTATAGTGTTGAATTTTCTAAAAATATTGTACTCTTTTTAAAATCCTCTCTTCTGAACAGATTCTTAATTTTAACATTTCGGGCCACGAAAATGGCTATTCAATTTAGGGTATCTAATTCATTTAAAATATGTAGAAAAATTTAATAAAATATCTCACATTCTTCCAAAAATTAGTCTAAAAATGTGCAGTTGGTTTTCTATAGAAAATCGAAATTCGTTTGGGTAACACCTTTATAAGAGAAAGCTTTGAGAAAAGTGCATTTGTTGCATGAATTAAATAAGTGAAAAGTTGGATAAGATTGTATATAGCGTAGACTAAAAATGTTCATGTTCTAGGTCGATTAATATATGCCATGTAAAATGATAATTCTTTGGATGTTCATTTGTTATAATCCTTCAACTTTTTTCTTTAAAAAAGTACAAGCATTGTCAACAACACAAAGTAATTAGTATACAGTCTATTATCCAAAAATTCTATTTTTATCAAATCCTAAGGATAATTCAATAAATTTCTTTTAAAATCTGCTCAATCCAAGATGTTAGTGTAACATGATTTACTATATCGGTATGAGAAAACCATGCATAAAGGCAGCAGTATATGTTTAGACAAGTAAATTGTAGCCGAAATCGTATGAAATAATATCTAGGGACGGAAAAGTTCTTCCGTTTACATTTCATCGCCTTCCAATTTGGAAGCAGGCTGCCTTCTCACAATAGATCAAAACACGCGACTACCGAGAAAACTTCATGAGTTGCTTCGAGAGAACCGCTAACATCGTAACTGCAACGATGATACGAAGTTTGTGTAACAAAAACGAAGTTGCAGTGGGAAACCTTCCGACTAGTACCCAGTACTTGCCACGTATTTTCGTGCCAAAACATTGACATTACTAATTCATAGCGGAAGAAGAGCAAAAATATACGCAATTTTAAGAATGTACCAGGATGTCGTACATTAGATGATACTCAACAATATATTTATGCAAGTAATGTATCTAATAAAAATATCACTAAAATTATATTTTCAAATATCTTCCAGAGATAAAGAAAATATGGACACAAAAGTGAGGAGAAGAAAAAATTTCAAAGATGTAGATTGCACCGCTCTCCAAGCAAGTCAACTAATTAAGTGCTACATTCCAACAAAAGAAGTCTTGTACTAAGTATTAGTTAGTAGGAAATAAACTCAGGCGGGAACAGGATATATTGACAATTGAAAGAATACCTTGACACCAGAGATCAATGAAAAGAGAAGGAGTAACTAGAGGAGTTTGTGAGTGAGAAGAAGGCGACGCGCTGGCGGAGGGAAGTTGAAGGTGTCTTTGCGATCACTCACCTTGGAAGAGCTGTGTTGGCCTTCGAACGATCGAGCAGACCTCACTCTCCTTGCATCTTCTTTACGCCGCCTGCAGACACAAAAAATAGTTTCTATTACTTTACAACAATATTCACAGCAATGCTCGGCTAGATTTGATAAAGAAATGTCTTAATCATCAACGTAAAGAGTGAAAAAGTCTAAAAATAAAACTAAAAAGTTTTATTGCCAAGACGTTTAAACATATCAGTTTCCTTTCTAAATAGCGATGTTTACAGTGAATGAACTCTGCTCACTCTTCCTCATTTTTTCTCTGAAGATATTTATATTATTTTCCATTCTATCGTATGATGTATCTCAACTGACAGGGTTCGATCATGATTTGCAGTTACAACGATGGGAGCACACTTGGTATCTTAAAAATGAACCGTAAATAAACTATGAAGAAACGGATTTAAAACAAAATCTCCCTTTCGTCAGTCTTGAAGTCAGAAATATACCATACTCTACATATTTTTTAAATAAGGAGAAATCCTTAACTGTGTAAGAAATAAATGTAATTATTGAACTACCGAACAGTTATGGCCTGCCATTATCTTTCGAGAGTGATGAGAGCGGAAATACCGCCAAACGAGCCACTTCAGTTGCCGTATTACTTCAGTTTCCCACATTTATCAGCACTTCCTACTTCGCTGTTCTACTCGAGAATATTTAGCACATCTTCATTCCTGAAATAATATGTTTTAGCCAACGGTTCTCGGTTTCAGAGGGAGTCTTGACTTTGAGAAGTCTTTGGGCGTTCCTCAAGGCCTCTTTTCTTCTCCACTCAGGGAGGTGTCGAACGGTAGAAGAGCCTTCTTCAGAACATCTGCTGCTCCTAGTTTTAACAAGAAAAGACTCTGCTGAGTGTCTCTGCTGAAAATATTTTTTTTAAAAAGGCTGAAACTCGAAATGCAGCAAACGAGGAAAAGTTTTATTCTTTATCATTTAATTTATTGCAAGCTCTAATTTACAAAATCCTCTTCTTATACATTTTATGATTTTTATTCATGGTATTTTTATAATTATATTATTTTCTTTCACAAATGCATTATTTATAAAACATAATATCCCATTATCCCTGGTCCCAACCTCAGTCTTCAGAACGAAAACTACCGCTTTTCGATATGAGGGCCTCAGAATACAAGTTTTTGTCTCTTTTTTTGTTTTTATTTGTAGTACCATGTTTCTCTATACAATGGAAATAGTATATGAGAAAGTAAAAATTGAACGCAAGTGTTCAAAGCAGGAGTGGATAAATGGAATTATTCGCAGGATTAAGAATGATATAGAAATGCAACATATTTTATGAGATAATAAAAGGAAGAGTAAGGCAAATGTAAAATATTTACTTCTCACCGCTCATTTAAAGCAGTTGATTTACTAACGATAATTAATGGAAAAGTAATGACGTATCTATCACATTATATATGAAATATACCATATCATGTGTTTCGTAAAATTGGAGCCAGGTGTATAGTGTCAATCAATTTATCTCTTTGGAAAAAATTAAAACAGCCTGTTCAGTGGTTGCAATTCTGCGTGTCTTATTAGTTATATTGTCCCTCTGAAAGCACTTTCCCCTCCGTTTGTTTTACGAAGTGCTAGGCTTAACGAAACAGAAGCTTCACTTCGCGCGTGGTGAAAAAAGACGTACAAGAGAAAGCTACATCCCTTCATAATACACATTACATTACACGTTCTACTGAAGGTTAGATTGAAATCATGTCGATTTTTTAAATATTTAACCTCTATTTCACGTTAGTTCACGTGTCTGCGCAAAAAATAATTCATATACTAATGAAGACGTATGAATATAATATTTGGTTCTAACTTAAACAGGATGTATTAACTGCATAAAAAAATCATACTTTTGCACGAATATGAATATATCATATTTTTTTGTGCTTTATGAATTTAACGACATATTTCATACAATCACGACAAACTAGACTGTTTTGTATTGTACTGGAAATGATAATAATTGAATAATAGCAGTCGTTATTTTTACAAATAGTCAACTGTAATACGTTGTTTAATTTTAAATACTGAACCATCAGACTTTAATAGTCAGTCTAATCAGTCTAATCAATCTGTAATCAGTCTAAAAAATCTAGAGAATCATTATTCAAATGAAAAAGGAATATACTATTAAAGAGACCACATTTATTGTAGTGGATGTGTAGTGTAGTACTTATCAATATATCTCGATTATAGACAGATGCATTCAATGACACATTTCATTCGTACCTCAACATTTTATTTTAGTGCATTTATTTTAATTTAATTTATTTAATATAATCAAATTTTAAACAATATAGTTTTTATATTGCTTATGTTTGTTTCTACCTATTCCAATTTAAATGGTTGACACCTTCGAAAGTCGCGTTCGCCGCATATCGCTCGCGCGCGTGTATCCGTGGCAGCCTCATATGCAAGTGGGGAGGGGGAGGCCCGCCCGATTCGCACGGCCGCGCCGCTCACAGCCCCACATATCCTCATGTGAGAAGCTCCCACCGCCCTCCCACCGCACCCAGCCCATGCCCCCGCCAGGCGTCTGCTTCCGGAAAGCGTCGCCTGACGACTGTTTCTTCAAGAGAATGCGAGGTGTTGCTATACTTTCATTGCATTTCTTTCCGCATTGCTTCTTTGTTTTCTTTATTGTTTTCTTATCTATTATTTATGGAATGTATGAAGGCATTCATGGTCTAACTTTGTACTCTTGCAATATCCCCTGAACTCTTAACGGCGTCCTTGGCTCAGAGCCAGCATGGCCACTCTCTCTGCAGCAGTTCTGAAAGGGAGGTCCTAGCGTTCGGAATGGTGCATTTTCGACACGAGCTGAGTAGTTACATAGCTAGGTCGAATTCAGCCGCTCATTCGAAGAGAATTCCAATTTCGGACTGATCTGGTGACGGACTGTCCCGTGATTTTTTCAATAATTTCCAAGCGAATGCCGAAGCAGTGCCTAACGGGCCATGGACCGCGCTATCCTTTCTCTTTCTTGTCTGAGTCTCTTGCCTTACACCCACCCGCACACCCACACACACTCACACACACACATACATACACACGCATATACACTTCCACTTACATGCACTACACTACCACTCATACCGGAAGACTAGTGAGCCTTAGAGCTTCTTCCGGGTGCGGAGGTGCCACGCTGTGGAAGATATCTGATTGGAGACGAAGCAAGACGAAATTTATGTCGGCACCGGATTTCACTATCCAAAATGGAAGGACACCGCCACCTCTCGGAATACATCACATTCACGATAATAACCGAGCTAATGACCATAGCAGCTGATAGGTACGGAAGAAAAGATCAATTAATCGTATTTCTGATCTTTTGATTGGGGTAAACGTTTTTCAAGCATTTCGGTATTCTGAATCACACGTGTATTTCATATGCGAAGCAATGGGGTCAGGGAAGCTTTCTGCTCAGAAACTGATTTTTCAAGAAACTTATTTATCGAGAAAACCCGTATGAAATAATCTCATGTCAAAATTGGGATGTTACACGTATTTTCTTTGGTATGGAGTTTCATTTTAGTTCCTTTGTTCAACTTAGCAGGGCGATAGAACACGTAAAATATACTTAATTCATCTGTTCTACTCATCGCGAAATCTTTGGGCCGTTTATTAATGTAGGTGAAACTTATTATGAATTATGAAACCCCAAGCTGCCCCAAGACCGTGCCGTTGCTTACATCCACCAGCGAGTGAGGATTGAAGGGCCCTTCCGTCTCTTCGTGAGTCGTGAACGGCGCCGGGAGTGCGCGGAAGGTGACGCGTGGAATGCGTGACGGCGCGACGCGACGCGCCCGCCTGACGCACAGCTGCTGCGACGCAACGCGACGGTGACGAGCCTCAGGCGCCGCCAGCCGCCACGGAGCGGCTATGGCGCAGCCCTTTTGAGCCCCTCTTCGCGAATGAGTCACGGCGACGGCGATGAGTTCTGCTGTTTCCAATCGAGTGAACCTTATTTTCGCGTGCGCTTGTGGCAAATGGGTTTTAATATTCAAGAATGGTAAATAAAAAAAGAAATGATAAAAAAACGCGTTTGAGAAGATACTACTTATTTAAAATAGGGATGGCGTTATAAAATTGTCGCTCTAAGTGTGTTGTTATCAATCGCATATTCACTAATATGCATTGCGAAAAGTATTTACGTTATTTGTCAAGTCGTTATTATGAATATTATATGAAATTCAGGAAATTTCTGGATGTTTATCCTAATATCGCTTCTTCAGCCAGGAAGAGATGTAAAATACGCAAATGAAATGCGTTATTTGCACCTCAACAATTTTCTGAAACGTTTTTTCTCTTTACATTTCGCTTACATGGTACGACTTAAATTTCTGTAAAATATGCGATGTCGCTTTCAATCTTCTTTTACCTGTTGATATATTTCAAGCATTTAGTAGATCATATTTACATAATTTCAAATATTGGATGCAGGCACATTGCTATGTTGGAACACTTGTTAAACAACGGAATATAATTATGCATATAGGAATAGGAAAATATTTCAAACAACAAATTGAGTCGTTTGGTGATAGAGGTAAGAAAGACAAAACTTGTTACGGAAAATTAAGTTTGAAAATAATAAGTAATTTTATTTGTACAACATTATTTTACTTTTCATTGTACCCATAGGAATCAATGTCTCTCTGTAGTTCCTTATTCCGCCTGCAGTTCCCAGCTCAGTAGCCACCCAGATGACAGTTTCATAGGCAGATTGGTCAACATTTCGACAATCTTCTCGTGAGCTTTTTCAAAATCAAAACTCAGGTCTCGAACATCAACGACGTGAAATTTACCACCTTCTTTTCAAAAGAAAGTAAATTCATGAAGTATTGCAATAATAGTTGTAAATGTAATAAACAGATCTTATGACATCAAAAAGATGAGCAGGAGAATTTTCGTCTTAAGAACATGGAAAACATTTGTGTAGCGGAATATAATGCGTTCTTCACTACACAAAAAAGGAAACATCAGCTCGTCTGGGATTGTCAAGTAACATCTGCAGCGGGGATGGCCGTTGGA